AAATTTGGGATTTTCGTTTACTTTCACCTTCAATGACAATGATAAATGGAGGGTGATTTTCCCTAATGGGGACAAAGACAGAAAAAAACCTGACAAGGGTTATAATCCCACTCCACAACTTAAAAAAAGAAAAAGAAAAAAAAAAAAAGAAAAAAAGAAGTTGTTGAGGCCAGGGCTGTGGAGTCGGAGTCCTGGAGTCGGAGGAAATTTTGGGTACCTGGAGTCGGAGTCGGCAAACAATGCTCCGACTGCGTCTCCGATTAAATTTAGATTGGAATTAAAAAAAAAAGCAAGTTTAAATGTCCCAATTCACAAAAAGTTATAATTAATGACTTCTCTACTGTAAGTAGTGCCTCACGTAACTGCAAAACGAATACGTTAAGTGACCGTGACGAAGCATGCTTTTCATGTGCTTCACTATATGGCACGCAACACACAATTAGGAGCGGCAATACTTATACTTTCCATAGTGTTTTACAGATTTTGTTTTTGGTTCATATAGATAAGCTTTGTTTTTGTTCTAAACAACCAAATAATGTGGTTTGTATTTTTGGACTGGTAAAGTTCCTGTTCCGGATGTTTATGCCTGCTGCTACTATCCAGCCACTTGATTAATAAAAAAAAATTAATAAAACTTTGTTGTTTTCATTGTGTTTGTCTTTTGCTTAAACTGTTCAATACAGTAGACTGTTGGCTTCCCAGCCAGTAGTCCTGTGGTAATGACATGTATGTTGCCTTTCTTTCCTTCAAGGAATGTATAAAATACATTCACATATTAATACAGAGGAGTCGGAAGTACAAAAAACTGAGGAGTCGGAACATTTATCTACCGACTCCACAGCCCTGGTTGAGGCTACAGCACTAGGGACGCAGTTGCCTTTAATGAATCCAGGCCAATTTCCCCCCCCGCCATGTCCTGGTGGCTACTGCTTATTGTATAAATCTTACCTCCCTGATGCCATATACTCCCCAAAGCGCTGATCTTCTTGCACCAAATGGTAAGATCAGCAGCTGTGACTGTGAAGGATACTACAGAAATAATCTAATAATATCCCTCAAACTGTATTACTAGAAGCAGTTCCCCCAAGGGAGCGCACACGGTGGGCCCCATTATCAAAGTGCCTGAAATAGGAACTTTCTGCTTTGCTCCCATTCCATTTCAGGGAACACAAGCGCAACTGAAGTATAAATCTGAATGGTTCCTTGTGGACCACTACATCAAATTATAAATTGAGATATATTGTTAAATGAGGTCCTTGTTTACAAAAAAAAAAAAAGTGTCATCTCACGTTTTAGAAGATATTGAACACCTTCACCTCCATTGATGGACATAATAAAATCTCCGATTGTAAGCTCCAAGGAGCAGGGCCCTCCTATCCCTCTTGTATTGTTGCTGTATTGTCTCCAGTTATATTGTAAAGTGCTGAGCAAACTGTTGGCGCTATATAAATCCTGTATAATAATATATATTAACCATAATCTGAAACATCTGCATCACCTTCAGACATGGGTCACCTTGTACTACATGTGCAACTCCAGGTAAAACTTTGAGTTTTGATAGTGTGTGTAAGGATCAAAACCTCTACCATTTTTGTTTTCACTATTAGGGTTC